AGGGTCACTGGCAGAGGAGGGAACTGTCCCCCCACCCCCCCGAGGTTAAGCAGCTTGTGTGAGGTCACAGTGAGAACAGGATGCAGGTCTGCGGCCAACAGCTGCTACCTCCTGCCCTCTGCCAGGCCCACGGCTGTGCATGGCCGTTCCTTCCCTCCTCCCCCGGGACGTCTGCGGGTGTGAGCTGGGCAGCTGGGGGCTGTCCGAGGCAGCCGGAGCAAGGCCAGGAGGCTGGAAGCGAAGTGCTTCCCAAAATAGCTCTGATAAGTAAGCACAGGGCGGGAGGGCCAGCCAGCTGCAGCCTTCCTCCGTCCCTGCTCCGGAGGCCCGGGTTATACGGGGAGAGCCCGGGCCCACCCCCTCTCGCCCACCCCCTCTCCCCAGGCCTCCGGCCCAGAAGCCGAGGCTGAGGCCGACCTGGGGGGCTGAAGGGGGTCGGGAGGGATGGAGAGGGGCAGCGGCAGGCTGGCTGGCTTCTCAGGAGCACTTGAGTTGGTCGGGGGTGGGGGGGGTCCCAGGGCCTTTCCTCTGGAAAGCAGGGTGTAGCCGGGCCAGTTCCCCAGAGACCTGGGGGTACAGGTGGGACAAGACCAGCCACAGTTGGAGCCCAGAGACCCTGGGAGTGGCAGGCAGCCCGCCGCGGCGTCCAGGCTCCAGTCTGAGGGGCCTCCCTGCCCTGCCTCCCCCTGTCCCCGCAGGCTGCGAGCGGGACCGTCTGTCATTCGGCTTCTGCGAGACCCTGCGCCTGCTGGGCCGATGCCAGCTGCCCGCTGTCCGCACCCAGTGCTGCCGCTCCTGCCCCACTCCGGGCCACGGAGCCCCCTCCCGCGGCCATCAGCGCGTTGCCCGCCGCTGACCACCCCCGTCCGGGACGCACGGATCCGCCGACCCCTCACCCAGACGCACGGACCTCACGCCCACCAGGGGCTGCACCCCCAAGGTGCTAACCTGGCCTGCTGGTGGCGGGCTGGGGACCCCTCCCCCAAGAAAAAGTATTTTTTTAACGGTTTGCATAACCCTTATTATTATTATACATAAACAAGCACCCAGTTCTAACCTGCCGCGTGGCGTCCTCTCACACCGGGAGTTTCAGGGCCCGTCTCCTGCCCTCCGTCCTCCTCATGTGACCCCGAGGTGTATGGTGGCCTCCAGGGGTTGTGGGGAGCAGTGGTCCTGGCCACGCTCGTTCTGTGCCCCCAGCTCAGGCCCTGGCCCTTCCCCTGCATCCCCACCCCAGGGCCTCAGAGACCACGGTCTCACGGCCCACCTCGGGCAGTAGGGACTGCCCCCTGGGGATGGCCTTGAGGGCTCTGGGACCCCCACGTTAACTCTCCTGCACCAAAGGGAGGAGGCGGCAGCTCTGTGGAGCCCGGTGACCTCCCAGGGGTGATGGGGCTGCCAGCAGGAGCAGGTGGGCGGCCCCCATTTGTCCCGTTCTGCCATGGGCCCCGTGTTCAGAGATGGCTGGGCGGGTCATAGCTGGTTCTGTCCCCCCGCCAGACCTCCACCCACAGATCCGGGCCCTTGAATGCGGCAGCAGGGGGCGGAGGTGCTGCAAGGGGCTTCTGGGCTTCAGCCCGGCCCTGCCAGCCCCAGCGCCTCCTCTGGAAGTGGCCGTGTCGTTTGGAGCCTGCTCCCCAGTCCTGCTCCTGGGGCCTGGAATGCCCCTTCTCCAAATGGGGGACATGAAGTTCAGGGAGGTCCAGGCCCGCAGATGCCTGCAGGGGACACGTCCTGTGATGTGCATGCTGGTTTCTGAGCTGTGTGTGTTGGGGTGAGGGCCACGTGGCCCCTTATGGCTGGCTGGGGGTAGGAGGGGGCCGTGGAAAATCACTCCCCAGGGACCGAGAGCCAGAGACCCAGCAGCCGCTAAAGCCAGTCGCAAGTGCCAGCCAGTCCCTCCGAGGAAGGGACGGAGGGCAGAGCTACTCTCTGGCTTCCCACTCTCCACTCTCACACCAGAGCCCTTCCAGGAACACGCCCCACGGGGCCCAAGAAGCCCCCAGCTCGGTGTGGGTCCGGCCAGGCCCTCCTGGAGCCCCCCTCCCGCTAGCCGCTGTCCCTGCAGGCCCCAGGGTGGCTGCATGCAGGGACAGATGGGCTGAAGTCACTCCGGAAAGCAAGTGTCCCGGGCCTGTGAGTCCCAGCATCGCCGCTCAGTTCGGGAGGAAGGGGTACCAGACTTCCTTCCTGTGTTTGTGACAGCCCTGCAGCCCCAGGAGGCCCTGGGGACCCACACTCTGTAACGGCTTCCCGGGGCCAGTGCGGTGCATGGCGGCAACCCTTCCGAGGACGGGGCCTCTGCCTCTGGGCTCCTGCCCCATGCCAAGCATGGGGGTCCCTGTCCCAGTGCTGTGACCTCAGGTGCCCCAGGCCTCGCTGAGTCTGTCCCAGGAGGAGACAGCTCAGCCCATCCTTATCTGCTCGCTCTGGAAACCCCCCGGCGCCCCTCCCCCACACCGTGGAAACACATTTGGCCTCAATCATGCTTGCTTGTGTTCCCGACGGTGGGGGCGAGGGCGATGGCGTCCCCCGCAGCAGCTGGGCCAGAGCGGTCAGCCCAGACAGGAGGCAAACAGCCTGTGACTCAGGCGGGCACGACGCAGCTGTGGCGGGGGCCTGGGGGGCTGCTCTGGCTCCTGACTGAAGCCCGGGACCCCGAAGCGCTCCCCTTGGTGCCCCCAGTTCCCCTGCGGCTTGACCGTGGCTCCCAGGGCTGCACAGCCGACCCAGAGCCCCGACCCACGCACCCCAGGGCAGACCGAGAGCGTGGACCTAGAAACAGCCAGCTGGCAGGTCAGAGTCCGCCCCTCCCAGCCAGGTCCTGTCCCCTCTGAGCCCCATCACGAGGGACTGCAACTGCATCTCAAACCAGAACGTTGTACAAATTAGTAGTTTATTTGGCTTTTTAGTATGACTGTTCCAAAATCTAACTCCGAGAAGCCAGTGACAGCGAGGGAGGTCACCTGCCCCTGCCTCCCCCGCCCCCCTCAGGGCTGCCCCAGGCGGGCCCAGCTGCCCGGGGCACGTGCCGGAAGACGGCCCCGCACAAAGCCGGTGGCGGGGGGTCTGTGCACGAGTACGAACGCTGCGCTGGCGATTTGCCTTGAACACTTCCTATATGGACACGACGGGCAGCCCTGGGCGCCCTGGGGGCCGTGGAGGGCGGGGTGTGCAGGGACGCGCTACCTGGAGAAGCCGCCACACAGCAGCGAAGGGTCGTGCCGGCCACGGGGGGCGCAACCCCGGCTGCTCTGTTCCTCTCTCTCACACACACACACGCACGCGCACGCACACGTGCACATGGAGCTATTCACAAGGGAGAACACATTATATAAAATAGGTATATGTAATCTAGAAAAACCTTGATAAAAATAGTCTATAAAAATATAAACTGTAGTGAAAAATATATAAAAGTATAAACAGATGTTCAGCCTGTGAAACACACAAGCAGTCCCCGTGCACGCCAGCAGCTGTCCTGCGCTGTGGCAGTGGAGCCGCGGGCACACGGGCACACGGCCTGCCGTTCTCCACCCCGCCCCCCGTCTGGGCCAGGCCGAGCGCCCCCGCCCGCCGGACACCCAGGGATGGGGCGGCCCCAGCAAAGTGTCCCCCATCTGCTCCCCCCACGACCGCACCGCTCTCATGGCCACCGCCCGGCCACGGACAGCTCCCTGGTGACACTAGGATGGCCCTGCCAGCCGCGCCCGAAACCACAGCTCCAGCCGCACACAGGCACCTGCACCCACCTCCGGTGCTTCGAAGAGGGGCCCTTCTGGGGCAGAACAGACACAAGCAGCCCAGTCCGAAAGGCAGCATCTTCCCCCAGGATATGGCCGTTCAGGGAAGTCAGCTTGGAAACCAGAGCCCAACCCTGCAAGGCCTCCTCACTGCTGTGCCCCTGCCAGTCAGCTGCCTGGGGCTGCGACAGGCAGTCTGCGGATGGCAGTGAGGCCACGGCCCGAGCCGACCTCCAGCAGCCACCCTGTCCCCTGCCCCGGAGCACTGGTACAGCGGGATCGGGGACAGTCCTCCGACCGATAAAGCAAGAACCGCCTTCCTGGGTAAGGCCTCTTTGCGGAGCCTCAGAAAGACGGCGCCCCCAGTCTGCAGAATGGCGTAGGCAGCCCTACCTGCTGGAGGCAGTGGGGACCCCGCAGCCAGGACCACGCAGGCTCCAGGGAGGGGCGAGGTTGCCTGCAAGGACGTGCATGCCTCTGGGCAGCAAGGTGGGGGGACCGCTCACCCAAGCTGCGCCCCAAGCGATGGCACTGGCCCAGCAGGTGGAGACCCCCAGCACCGGTGGACAGAGTCACCCCCCGCCACACCGCTGCCCTGTAGGGCATCCCCAGAAGCTTCCTGTGTCCCCTCCGGCAGGGCATGCCCCAGCAGTGGGCCTGCTGTGCAGAGTGGACTGTCGTCCCCACACAGTGACTCCACAAGTCACTCCGCAGATGGAAGGTCTTCCCCAGAACCTCCCGGAGCCGAGCTGGGCAGAGCGCGGGGTGGGATAGCTCAGCCACCCGCCGAGAGCTGACGGGGCCGGGGGCAGCGTGGGGTGTCCGGAGGGCCATGGGGCACCGCGGGTGGCTCGCCCAGCATGGAAGGCGGCAGGTTTCCACAGACCGCTTCTGAACGTGGATGCGCTCGCTCCGCTCACCTCACGGCCCCCGAAGAAGCCGCGCTCCGGCCTGGGGTGGGGTGGGGTGGGGGGGACGTGCAGCGCAGCGGTGGAGTGGGGGGCGACGCGCAGTGCAGTGGGCCCGCGCACAGGGGCGACCCGGGAGACGGCCCGCGGCAGGTTCCTGGGGTGCGAGCCATGCACAAAGCCCAGATGGTGCTGTCAACGGGCTCTGGAAAGCGGCCCGCAGTTCCCCCGGGGTGCACCGGGCAGCGCCCGCCCCGCATGGGAAGGCTGGACGCAAAACAGACCCGCTCGCGAGTAAGAAAGGGCTGCGTGGCCGCGGACATCCGCCCAGCAGACTTCCAGAGGCCACGGGCACTGCCTTCCGGCTTCCCGAGAGCAGAGACCCCTGCTGGGACCCTCTGGCACACTTTGGTTGTGAAGGCAAGAGCAGCGTCCTGGGGTGGGGGGCGCTCAGGTGTCCTCCTCGTCACTGACCAGCTCGCCCTTGTCAGGGCTGGCGTCCCGCTCACGCAGGAAGTCCTCACGGATGGCCTCCAGCTCCGTGAGCTCGAGCCGCACCTTCTCCAAGTGGTAGGAGCGCCGGTTCCGGATCTGGCGCAGGGGGAACGGGTTCAGGTCCCCGAAGGAGATACTGATCAGTTTCCTGGCGGAACACAGGACGGGGACAGAGGTCAGCAGGGCGGGACATGGGTCAGGAACAGAGGTCATCAGGGCAGGACACGGGACAGGGACAGAGGTCATCAGGGCAGAACACGGGACAGGGACAGAGGTCATCCGGGCAGAACACGGAATGGGGAGAGAGGTCAGCAGGGCAGAGCACGGGACAGAGACAGAGGCCAGCAGGGCAGGACACGGGACAGGCCCTGGGGCAGGTGTGTCACCTAGAGGCCAGCCCTTCGTGCACAGAGGTTACGGGGCTGGCCCTGAGCCCCCGCCTGGGTGGAGGCCCACGCTGGCTGTGTCACAGGGCGGGTAAGGGTCCTTCCCTTTCTGCCTTCTAACTCCCTGTCTGCTGGGAGCACCGTAATGCCACCTCCTGGGGTGTGGGGTTATCAGTGCGGCCACCGGCGGCATGGGACCGTGTCCGGCACGTGCTGGGCGGCTGAGGGCCGGCGTGCCTGAGCGGGGCCAGCAGGAGACTGGTTTGGGCTTTCCTGGGACTGCCTGGGAATACTTGGACTGCGCCAGCGCCCACCAGGGCTCGGACACAGTCTGCACACAGGCGGGCTGTCGATGGGCTTCACGCCATCCGCAGGTCCAGGCACCAATCCCGCTAATGTGCCCCTGGCCGCCGGCCTGAGGTTTAACAAAAGCAGAACAGAGCCCCCGGCTAGGGGCTCCAGCACTGACTGGGTTGGCTGCGGCCGCCCGCAGGTGAAGACAAAAGCCAGTCCCTCCGGCACCGAGGGGGCCTCGCTCCAGCCCCAGCCTCGGGTGCTGAGGCGTGACGGCAGCCGGCGAGCTCTCAGACGCCCACACCTCAGAGAGCCTGGCTCCAAACAGCTCCGGCAGGAGGTCCCAGGTCAGGGAGCCCAGCTTCGAAGGCCAAGTTCCCACAGTGTTCGAGAACACAGGCGTGCGGGACAACGGAGCCAGCCTGAGGGGAGTGGGGCTGTAGGAGGCGTCTCCGGCAACAGACGTGCCAGCCAAGACCGGGGACCCAGGGCCCAAGCGATCAGAGCCGCTTCCCAGTTAGCCTGACACTCCCCGCCTCTGAGACCGGGCGTCCAGCTGACTCCAACCGGGCGTCCAGCCTCTCCCCTGAGACAGGGCGTCCAGCCCCCGCTTTGCCACAGAAGGCAGACCCAGAAGGCACCGAAGTCGTTGGTCGGCCTGTGCTGCTGCGGCTGTCAGCCCCGCGGACACAGCAGGACACAGTCCTGCAGGCCTGGCCAGGAGACCGCAGGTGTCCCGTGGTCAGTCGAGGCTGAATCCCCCAGAAGCCCCGATCTGAGACTGGTCTAACCCCATTAGCCCGACAGCCCCAAACACGCGCAGCCCAGAAGCCCGTCCCTCGTTCCTCAGGGAACCGCTCAGGTTTGCGGAACTGCGGGTCTGGGTCTGGCCGTCACGGCGTCTGCGAACCTGAGTCCCGTGGACCCTGACTTCCCGAAGCCAGCGGCTTCCACTGACAAGGAGGCACGGCCACCGAGGCTGCGGGCGCTGGTGGCCCTACAGCCTGCACTCAGGCCAGTCTCAACCCTGATGTCCCTGCGCCTCCCAGAGGTTCACCCTGGACTCGGTGTCACCGGCCGCCACCCTCCAGCAGCACACGGCAAAGCTGAGGTCACTGCCGCACACACGTCGGCGCGCCTGACGATACCCTCAGAACCTGCTTCCCGAGCGGGAGGCTCTACAAACAGCAATGGCTTCCGGAGTCAGACGCGGCCTCCGCCAGCCCCTTTCCACTCTCAGTGTCCTTTCCCCACACTGGCGCCCAGTGGCACTGGGGCCTGGAGGCTGTCCCACTGTGTCTCATGGGCTGGCCAAGGAGGGGGTGCCTGCCGGTTTCCCGGGGGCTCTGGGGGGGTCTGAAGCCCGTTGTGACACATCAGTGGACAGAGGAGGCCATGTGGGGAATCGTGACCCACATTTTGTAACGGAATAAAATCCCCTCAGTATCCGCCACAGACCTTTAGCAAGAACCAAACATTTCAACAAACTGTTTCGTTTCTACACACTCTAGAATGGGCATCCCAGGTCCTCAGACAAAGCACCCATCTTGGGAGCTACAGTCCCAAGAGACTGAAAGGGGGGCACCCGGGGGGCTCTGTCGGCAGGGCGCCTGCCTTTGGCTCAGGTCATGACCCCAGAGTCCTGGGATCGAGTCTCGCATCGGGCTTCCTGTTCAGTGTGAAGCCTGCTTCTCCCTCTGCCTGCCACTCCCCCTGCTTGTGCTCTCTCTCTTATGCTTTTTTCTCAAATAAAATCCTAAAAAAAGTTTGAAATCACAAGCCCGCAGATACTTCTCAGCATTAGGACCTGTGGCTCTCACAGGGCTGCATGAGCCTGGCACAGGAGTGCACATGTGGGTGGGGACGGTGGCTCACGCTGGGCACTGTCCAGCAGAGGACTGTGACCCGCGGTGGCCCAGAGCCACACTGTCCTCCCTGGCCTGACCAGCGGTGGGAGCCCCCGTGGGAGCCCTGGGGAGTGTGGCCAGAGCAGCCCCAGCCGTGGTTGGGGCACATGCAGGACAATCGCCCCAAACAGGTGATGCCGTGTGGCAAGGGGGACGGGGGAGGGATGGGGAGATGCTCCCCTGACACGGGTGCCCAACCAGAAGTCCCAGGGTCCTTACAGGTCCACGTCCTCTCCCACCTTCCAGTTCGCGCCTCGTCCATCTCTGGGGGCACCTCCAGCTTCACCCCAGGCCACCCGGACGCCCCAGCCTCCCCTCCCCCTGCTGCCAGTTCTCTTCTCGTCTTTCCAACACCCCAGGGACAAAGCCTGGTCCCGCTCTGCTCCCACCTGGCCACCCTGGCCTGCCCAGACCGACCCACTCCCACGGCCCCAGACACGCTGCCTCTCACGTCCCTGCTGCTGCTCCCACTCCCCGGACCCAGGACACCCTGTCCTGGGTGCCCCTGCCCAGCCCTGCTCACCCCGCCTTGCCCCCCGCCCAGCTCTGTCCCGGGCCTGGGCTTCCCCGCAGCAGCCCCCAGCCCCTCAGCACGTCTCCCCTCAGGTTCTTTATCGGGGGCTGTCCCCCGCCCCCGTCACCCTCAGCGCCCGGCGGCCTGTCCTGCTGTGAAGACTCAGCAAGTGCTTGCTGTGCCCACGGGACACGTGTTGGCTGCATCCAGGACGAGCCGTCCTTCCTCCTCGATCCCCGGTTGGTGGGGGCAGCGGTGTCCGCAGCTGCTCCCGCTCCCCGCTCGCACACAGCAGGCCGGCAAGGCTGCTCTCCGCGGGGCAGGGCCGCCACCGCCTGCTGCTCCCGGGGCCCCCACCAGCGCTCACCGGGCATCCAGGATGGTGCGCGTGAAGTAGCGCAGGTATTTGAACATGGACATTGGGTCCTGCAGCTTCAGGATCTCCTCCTCCTTGTACTTGAAAAGCGCCAGCGCAAACCGGAAAATGACCTGCGGGGAGCACGGGGACGTCCGTCGGCAGAATGTCCTTCCCCCGCCCGGGCGGCCGCCTCCCGCACCCACGCCCGCCCGCGGCCCAGCAAAGGGTCCCTCCGTCTCGGGGACCCTTCCGCATCCCCGGCGAGCCGGCCACTCCGCCGGCATTGCCCGGTCGCCCGGCGAGCACACCCACCTTCGGGCCCTCGTAAAGGAAAGAGTCCCAGATCTTGAAGAGGACGTCGCTGACGACGCTGTCCACGAACACCACCAGGAACCAGTTGAACGTGATGAGGGTGTAGTCGACACCGTGCTGTTCTAGGTGCGCATGCACCCGCGGCAGCTTCTCGCTCATGAGGTCCCGGAACACGCGCTGGTCCACCTGCGGGGAGGGGCTGGCGCTCAGTGCACTCCGCCTGGGCCGCCGCTGTCTCACACGCCCAGCCTTGTGCCCGCCCACCGTCCCCAACTGTCACCAGGGCGCCGTGGCCCAGAAGCCACCCAGACAGGCTGCTACAGGGCACTGGGGGTTAGCCTCGCTGCCTGCCCGTGATCTGGGGCTCCGGGGCTGGAGGCCGAGTCCTGGGCCCAAGAGGAGCAGTGACAGCAGCCCGTCTGTCCCACAGACGCCCCCCGGATGTGGGGGTGGCATGGGGCATGGGGGTGTGGCTTCCAGGGTCCATGGGGTGGCCTGGGGCGCATCTCACCCACTCTCACAGGGCTGCGAAGGGTACCATAGGCCATGTGCAAACCACCATGGGACTCGGAGCTCTCGTCCTCCCCCAATGTTGGGCACAGCACTCTGCTGGGCATAGGGATCCACCCCCACCCCGGCCCCCGAGGAGCGAGACGCAGCGCGGGGCGCCAAAGGCCGGGCCTGCTGGGTCAGCGTTGGCCGGGCCCCGGTGAGGGGTGCTGGCAGTGCTCCCAGAGCCGTGCAGGTGCCATCCAGGGTCGCTGGAGAAGCATGGGTGGCCCAGGCTGGAAGCCAAGGATCCACGCAGGGGGCAGGTGTCCCCCACGGGCTCTCCTGGCCTCCAGCGGGGACCTACACAGACAGGCTGAAGTCACAGCAACCCCCAGCAGGGGCCCAGTGGGGGGCTCGAACTCACGAACCTGACATCGTGAACAGATGAGATCAAGAGTCACACAGTTGGGGCAACTGGGTGGTCAGTGGGTTAAGCAGCTGACTTTGGCTCAGGTCATGATCCCAGAGTTCTGGGATCGGACCCCACATTGGGCTCTGTGCTCAGGAGGGAGTCTGCTTCTCCCTCTCCCACTCCCCCTGCTTGTGTTCTCTCTCTCGCTGTGTCTCTGTCAAATAAATCTTTTTAAAAAGTAGCATATAGTAGATATTTTTTTAAAAAAAGGCTCTTTTTTAGGAGAATCTGAAACTTTAAACAGGCCCATATTTCCTCCTTTTTAGAAGTTTTGCTTTTTCTTTAACATAGAGGCTTTAACTATCAAAAAGACTTTTTTTTTTAAGGGCGTGGTTAGAGTCAAGTAAGCATTACTGGTTGATATTGTAAAATTTAAAAGGCAACTAACTTAAAATGCTAAAAACACTGTTACAAAATGATTATGTTACTGTTACAAAAATGATTCCAAAGCGTTGTAAATCCCCCTCAGTATGTAAAAGACAACACAATACAGGAATCCTGCTGGAAACAAACATTTTGGACAATCTGCCTTCTGACTAGAGCAAGAGACTAAGTCTCAGAGATGAGAACGGGGGGGTGAGCTATAACGGACCCTCCTTAAAGCCTGCACAGAGCGCGTAAGCTGCTGTTGGAACATCCCGCGGCGTGCAAAACGGCTGCCGGCCCCCCGCACTGTGCCCCCCAGGAAAGCAGCCCAGAGTCTCACAGGGCAAGCTGGACGGCCGTCCCGCTGGGTGATACACCCCTGGGGACCGTCCCCGGGGAGCCCGCTCCTGTCACCCCGTAGGGTCAGTGTCACCCACAAGACGCAGTGCCTGGACATTCCAACAATGGCCCTGGAACCACACACAGGCAAGAGAGACGGACAGGTGGCTGCAGGGCAAGGGACAGCCGTGAGACTCCTTCTTCAGAGGAAGGGCAAGCAGGCGGTCCCCAGAGTGGGAGTGAGGCCACGCCCCAGCCCTCCCAGGCAGGTGGCAGGTGGTGCCTGGCTCGGGAGGCCGCGTGCGGAGCCGCCCACTGGGTCGACTCCAGCACCCTGCGCTCAGGAGGATGTGGGAGGACACTGTCCTCAGTGCCCACCAAGGTCCTGGCGCCCAGTGTGCACTCAGCTGACAGGATGGACAGAGGCTGCAAACTCTGGCCCATGGAGGCGGTCTGATGGGGACTTGTGAATCTCGGCACCGGGGCTAGCCACACTCGCTGCCCCGCGGCACGGCCTGACCTGGAGCCTGCCATTGCAGAGTACATGGGTTATGTGGATTTGCCTGGTGGAGGGCAACCGCCACCAAATACGGCTGTGACAAAGCACAGAACGACCTGGAGGGAGAGCCCTCATGCCATCGTGTGAGCTGGCTGGGATGTGTCCTGCCCCAGCACGAGTACCTGAAGCACATTTGGAGGAGAAAAAGCCAAAAGGAAATACATGAGAGGGCCAACTGTGGCCTCTAGCGGGTCGGATAACACAGGGTTTTCGTTTCCTTCTGAACATCTGGATCCCCAGCCACCGCTTCTTTGAGGGCACCCACGACTTTCACCGTCGGGGAGGAAACAGGCTCTTTGGACTTGACAATTGCGTTTACGTGACAACACGATACATGTTTTATCTTATCCACATAATTAAAACAGGTTTTCGTTTCCTGCCTATAAGGATAATCTACGAGTTTTTATGCTCCAAGTGTTAGCACAAGCTCGTAACACACCATCTGAGTTCAGCCTGGAGCGGTCTGCGCGGGCGGGGGCACTGCTCACATCCCAGCCGGGCAGCTGAGGCGCCCGGGCGTGGACGGAGGTGGCCAGGCTCCATGGCACACAGGCGGGAGGGCCTGGCTCAGAGGATTTAAGACAGACGAAGGCCTCACCCTTCTTATTTTGAAACAGTCAACTGACATCTCCGGAGCTATTAGCACCCAGGCGTACATGACGCACGGAATTTAATTTACTGATCTCTTCACTCCCATCAGACAGTGATGCCTGCCTCTTTCCACGGCTCATTTCCTAGTTTATAAAATATTCTGGCAAAAAGACCCTCCAGGTGATTTAGCAAAGTGACATGCTCACGAGGAGACTAGCTGAGCCTCTCCCCGGATCGGTTGGCCCCTGTGGCACCGGGGCCACTCAGGAGAGCTGCTTTGTGTCTCTGACCTCCAGTTTTCTCCCAAGTACAGTGGGGACAACAATGCCTCCACCAGGATGGTTTTGGTGCCGAGTGCCAGCTCCCTGTCCCGAGTCGGGGCGTGCATGCACACTCAGCCACTGGCCATGTCGGGGAGCTGGCGATTCTGGAATGAGCATCAGGGCCGTGGCCGGCTGCAGGACAAGCAGGCCCACAGGGAGGTTCCCGTCAGACGGCCACGGTCCCCGAGGCGCGCACCAGAGCTGTGGGAAGAGCAGTGGCCTCCGGTCAGTGGGCAACACAGATGCGCCCAGAGCCCAGGCTGAACGGGAGGTGTGTGGGGAGGCAAGCAGGGGACAGTGACCTGGGGGGGGGGAGGTGTCAGCTGCACATGGAAAACAGGGCGTTTCTGGGAGCAAGGGTTCCATTGTAGGGCACCATGTGGTTCCAGCAGGGCACCCTGTGACACGGGGTGGGGAATGGGGAGGCGACGCAGAGATGCAGGAACGGGGGTCCCGGGCGGGGGTCAGGGGTCAGAGGGGAGCAGGCACGAGCCGCCAGGCAGGTGGCAGCGACAAGAAGCCTAACAACAGGGCCGCAAAGCGACAGGAATGAGGCTGGATCCAGGCTGGGAGGCAGGGGCCGGGGCAGGTGGTCACGGAGGCCATGACGAGAGGCACATATAGAACTCAGGGCCCAGCCAGGCAAACGGACGCCACCCTCACTGTCTACGACAGAGGGATCTTACGCGGGGACACGGCCACAGGTGAGAGAAAAGCCGAGAAGCCACGCGGTTGATGGAGTGGCCCAGAGGCAAGGGCAGGAAGCCGCCTGTGGCTGGAGCACGGAGATGCCAGGGGCCTAGGGGCCTGCTGGACAGGAGCGGGCACCACGGAGATGTCCAGGCCTCGGGAAGCCGGCGTCCACGATGGTGGGGCGAGAATGGCTTGCCCTCCCCTCCAGCCCCCGCTGGTCCCCTGCCTGGGCCTCCTCTGGCCACTGCAGAGCCGGGAAGGTCAGGCCCATGAGCAGGGCTGTCAGCTGCACAGCGGCCCCAGACTGGCCCAGGGGAGCTCTGGCCTGGGCCCCAGGGGCTGCTCCCAAGCCAGAACTGCCCAAGTGGGGATGGCCCTGGGCTCTCGCCGCCCACATCACCCTGCCTGCCCTGGCTTCAGGCTCCAGGCGTGGCAGGCGTGAGCTGTGCCCTCATATCTCCTGCCAGGAAGGGGACAGCAGCCCACAGGCCGCCCCTCTGGGTCCAGCACTGCCTCTGCTGCTCGCAGCCAGGGAGCGACCCCGGCAGGCCCCAGTGCAGCCTGTTCCCACGAGACACACGCCCAGAACAGGCGGCCCCAGCGTGTGCACTCCCCACCGGCCTGGCCAAACTTCCTCTCTCTGAGGTCCGTCCCACACGTGCCTCCTTCCTTTTCCTGGTCTGGGGGTTCCCCAGCCTCCCCACTCCCACCCCCAGTTCTTCGCAGGTGCCTCCCCTCAGAAATTTCGGGCTTGTCCACTCCTGCCTTGGCCTCAGCTTCTCGGGAGAACCTGAAGAGACACATCAGGTTTCCAAGTACTCCTGGACGGCAGCTTAGCTGCCCAGACAGACAGCAGTGTCCGGGGATGGTGGAGCCCAGGGGGCAGCAGAGCCAGGAGACAGAGGAGCCCGGGGGATAGCAGAGCCATGGGGACAATGGAGCCCAGGAGGCAGCTGAGCTCCAGAGGACAGCAGAAGGGCGCCTGGGTGGCTCAGTGGGTCAAGCCCCTGCCTTCGGCTCAGGTCATGATCCCAGGGTGCTGGGATCAAGCCCCACATCAGGCTCTCAGCTCAGCAGGGAGCCTGCCTCCCCTCCTCTCTCTGCCTGTGTCTCTGCCTACTTGTGATCTCTGTCAAATAAATAAATAAAAAATTTAAAAAAATTAAAAAAAAAAAAAAAGGACAGCAGAGCCGTGGGGGCAGTGGAGCCGTGGGGACAGTGGAGCCCACGGGGATAGTGGAGCTTGAGGGACAGCAGGGCTGGTCCACTTCTCATGGCGTGTAATGGCCAGCCCACCCCACCAGCTGACGCCAGCCCGGCCCACGGTCTGTGGTGTGCCCTGCCTTGTGCGCCTGGCACGGGGGGTGGGGTTGAAGCCGCGAGCAGGAACCCCTCACCAGGGATCAGGTCGGCCCCATCTCAGCCTGCGCTCCACGCTGCTGACCGAGGTGCAGGACAAGGGCACGTACCTGGGACCCCAGCAGTGTCTTCGTGTAATAGTCTCGCGGCATGAACACCTCCACTATGGTGACGAGACACCAGAAAGCGTCTTCCTGCTCCAGATACAGAAGGGCCACTGCCACCAACCTGTAAGCAAACGACAGTGCGGTGAGCGCCAGCCCCTGCAGCCCAGGCCGTGAGGCCCTTCGGACCCCGGTGCCCCTGGGTTCTCGTGGCCACAGCTCCTCCAGCCCCAGGAAACAACATCGAGTCAGCGCTCCTAGGCTGGTGAGCCGTTTTCCTTCTCTCTTTCTCTCCTCCTTCTTGTAGTAGTCTCTGCACCCAACATGCGGCTCGAACTCATGACCCCAGGGTCAAGAGTCACAGGCTCCACCGATAGCCAGCCAGGAGCCCCATGTCTGATGTTCCTGATACTTTCCGGAAAGTACGCTTGCTTCTCTCGATTACTGCAGAACTGGGGACGCCAATCATTAAGCCTAGCTGACGGCAAACCTGCTTTATGAGGCGAACCTTCCTCAGCTAGCCAGGAAGGAAGGGAGGGGAGCGCCCCCCTGCTCAGACCCAGGAGGGGAGGGGAAGGCCGGGCCGAGCGCCCACCTGCTCAGACCCTGCAGGAGAGGGGAGGGGATGGCCGGGCCGCCGGGCCGAGCGCACCTGTTCAGACCCTGGCAGTAGCCGATATCAGGGTTCCGCCAGGAGAAGGCGAGCAGCACATTGCGCAGCTTCTGGACGCCCTCCGACGTGGGGCCGGAGTAGTGCCTGTTGTTGGGCAGGGTCCGCAGCAGGTCCAGCTCAATCTGCTTGGAGGCCGGGTTCTGTTTCTCCAGCGCCTTCTGCAACAGCGTCTGGAAGTACCCGGGCTCGGTGCTGTCCTTGAACTTCCTGGCGTGCAGGTCCACACACCACTTCCACACCTTGGAACGGTGCTCGTGTGGGATGCCGGCCCGGATCAGGTTCTTCAGCTCCGGGGAGCACGCCATCTCCCTGTTCATCGTGCTCGCAAAGTAGTTCTCCCACTTGACCCCGGTGGACACCTCCTGGTTCTCCGTGAGGTGCAAGGTCTTCAGGTCCAGCGCTCGGACCTTGGCCACCAGCTTCTCCTCCTCGTCGTCCTCTGGGACGGTCCTAAACCCGTAGATGTCGTACTCACTGTCGAGAGATACAGAAGGGAAACTGAGTGATGGGATTCTGACGAAGACCCCAACTGAAGAGAAAGAGGATCGGCCCCCCCGCGCACGTGGCCCTTGGGCCTGGGACCAGCCACCGGAAATTGGCAAGCAAAGCAGCAGCTTCTTGCAGCAAGGGCAGGACGCGCGGCTGGCTCTGTGGGAAGACGTGAAATTAGATCTCTTCGTGCTACAATAAAGATCCATTCCAGGTGGTTTAAAGCCCTTCGTGTGAAAAGCACAGAAGAAAAAAATGTGCCCAGTAGCCTGGCCACGTGGACATGGTTTTCCATGTCACGCACGTCAATGTATGACTCCTGTGCTTGGAAAACACCGTTTCAGAAGGGGAAAGACGAGGCAGAAAGCACCTGCGTAGATATCAGGGATGAAGACGGCGTAGGCATCAGAAGCAGAACCACGGCCCCTCACCTGCGGCCGGCCACGCCATATGGCTGAGGTGCATGGCGTCCCTGGACAGGGCCGAGGGCAGGGCGGTCCCCCTGGGCTACCCTGGGCCAGCATATGTGCAGGAGCCCTTCATGGCGGGCGAGCAGGGCAGGACCGGGGCGTGCAGGCCACTGCTGCCGCCAGAGGAGGGGAGAAGGGGGCTGGAGCCCACCGATGCCTGTGGCCTCCAGAAGCGGGAGAGGCTGTGCCCAGTAGCCACCGTGGGAACAGAGCCCTCGGTCTGCGACCCCAGGGAGGGTGCGAGCACGTGAGGACACCCACTGAGCCCCGCAGCCCCTGGGAAGGAACAGCGGCTGTGATGCCGCGAACACCCAGGGATGTCCAGACGGACGGCCCACACTAGCTGAGCCGGCACATGGGCGGTGTGCAAGCCGCCACGTCGGGGACGATCCGCGAGGAGCCGCAGAAGACGGACACAGGGCCTCTTGCGCCTGCCGCCGCTGGCGTGGCCTGTGCGAACCTGGCAGAGCTGAAGAGACGTGTTCCCTGCGTGTCGCGACCCCGCTGCGCGTCCGCACTAGAGGAGCCGCACACGGGCGCTGGAAACACAAACCCCGACGCTGGTCGCCTCTCATCTGTCACGAGGGAACGTGGAAGGACCCCATGTGTCTGCCACGAGGGAAGCAGGAGCGACACCGGGGTTTGGGCTCCACCTGCATCTCCCACAGTGAAAGGGCACGAGACCCGTGAAACACGGCTCGGAGGCCGCGTGCGTCCCCCTGGAGCACCGGGTACGGTGGGATTCGTGTATCAGGACGTGGTCAGCGAGGAGCTAGAGATACACGCAGAAGCTCATCAGGGGAGAATGCCTGGATGGGCCGACGGTACCCTAGGAACAACCCTGGGGCGGGGGGCCCAACCAGACGGACGGGAATTCCAGAGGGGGTGCGGGGGGCGGGGGGCTGGGGTCCCGGGACTCGACTCTGTGGGTCTGGAAGCTTCTGTAATGATGAGCCAGACATACATCAACACGACAAACAGTAGGAGCCCACAAGTGCACGAGGGGGACACAGGCGCCCTGAGCCCCGCGGACCCGGCGAGGAGGAACGTGGAAGCCAGCTGCCCAGGCTGGCGTCCTGTTCCCACCACGGCCACTCGGAGGCAGTGGCTGCGAAGATGCGAGGATGAAAACACCACCTCACCCTGTGAGCGCGCACATGGTGGGGGGACCCTCCCCCTCCTTCCGCTCCTCCCCGCAGGGGCAGCTCAGGGCACGTGGGCACAGGGAGTGCTGTGCAGCGGGGGTGAGGCCCCAGGCTGCGAGCCATATCTGTCGCAGCAGGTCTTGCTGGAGCGAGGCTTCCCCTGGGCGGGATCCTCAGTGGGCACTGAGCCACCATGCCGGGCTGGCCGAGCCCTCTCCCCACGTGGGGTCCCCTCGGCTCTCTAGCCATGTATGGGAGCAGCTGTGTCTCAGGACGGGGCCTCCACTCCTGCGGGGACGGCCGCGCAGCGGGACTGGAGCCATGCGGGAGCCCGCGGGAGCCGCAGACACCGATGTGCTCAGGAGAGAGGGCCTGAGCCCGGCCCCACCGCGCACCGGCTGCAGCAAGAACGCTGAGATCACACGCTCTGGGGGCGGACGGTGCGGGTCGCGAAGAAGCAGCGGGACACACACACGCATCCATCCCCAGGACGGTGCTCCCACCCCACCCCAGCCCCCGCCCCCGCAGCCGCCCCTGCCCCCACCTGACGAGACGAGGCTTCACAAGTGCCTGCCCCGGCTGCTCCGGGCCGTCGGCCTGCAGGGCGTCCTCCAGCAGCTGCGCGATGACGCCGCGTGCCGGGCCTGGTTCCTCAGAGCACACGGGCGTCTTGACCTCCTGCAGCAGGATCAGGTACTTGCTCTCCATCTGACACAGCTTGGCTTCCAGGCTGGAATACTGCAGAGAATGGGGGTCACCGCCGCCCCGACCACGACCAGGATGCAGGAGGGGCCACCTGGGGCCGCAAGCTGCCAGTGGGCAGCGAGCCCCAGCCACAGGGCGGTGAGCTGGGACCACGTGGAGGACAGGAGAGTCCTGTCGCCTCAGGCCACCTGTCACGTCTGCATGGGCCACCCCGGCCCCCTCCTCCCAGGGCGCTGCCCAGAGGATGCACTGCCAGCGAGACCCCAGATGCCGACACTGGCGTCTGTCCTGCACGGCAAAGGGAGTGGCAGGAACCAACCACATGGCGGTCCCTATGGTCATGCTGAGTGTCACGTGGCACGTGGGCTGTGAGAAGGGGCCCATGCGGCACTGACAGGTCCCGGGACACTGTGTCCCCAACCAGTTTGTCTGCTGTGTCATCAGACACACCCTAGGACCACGCGGACGTAGGTCTGGGGAGATGCGACCCACGGAGTGCAAAGCAGGGGCTACGAGGGCCACTGAAAGCCACTGCGTGCCGGCTGCTGTGCAGGCGCTACCCTTCCAGCCACAGCGCCGACAGACACGCACACCGACGGGTTCCCACCGTCCCCGTTTACAGATGGGAAACCAGGCCACACGACTCAACAGACAAAGTCACAATCCAAGCCCCTCCGTTCGGGGAACCTGGGAGTCGGAGTCAATGGTTTTGTCAACCCCATGACGCAGGCAGACGAGGACACGTCAGGGTGCCTCTCGGAACGCAATGCTCTATAGCCTGTATTTTGGGTTCTTGTGCCCCAGCACAGGAGTAGGACTGGTTCAGGGTGTGCCCGCTTCTAGAGGCTTCCGTGTCCCCAGCCACCAGGAAACAGCCGCGACCCAACCCACCTTGGCCATCAGATCCCGCTCCCTCCTCTCCGCATTTCTCCGCAGCGCCGAGAGCTCCAGGATTTCCTTGTTGAGGAACTTGTTCTGGGTTTTGTACCCCTGCAGGTTATCCTGTGGGCAGAAAACCGCCGTCAGTCCAGCCCACTCTCCCATACGGTTAACGTACCGCTGTGTCCCCCGAGGGCCCCACCGAGTCAGCGGGAGACGACCGCAGGGCACATCCTCATGGCCTCTGCAGCCACCCTTGGGGCAACAGAGGAAGGAGTAGGACCATGTCCGCAGGCTGTGAACGCCACCTCCTCCACGCACTGACTGTCACAAGGCCAATCCTCATGACCATTTCCTCTGTAACTCGAGGAACAACACGTTTTCTGTGGCTCTCGCTGTCATTCAGGGGACAGAGAAAAGGCCACGCGGACACCCGGCACGCTCGACTACGGAATCACGCCCGCCCCCCGCAGCGGATGACGCGCTCGGGAAGCACGTTCCTCCCGCGTGTATGTGCAAACATTTCCAGCTCTGGAGACGCCAACGGTGAAGCGTGAGGAACCGGACACACCTTCGCCTAGAAGTCCCCAGCTGTTACCGTCTGCTGCGCCAGCTGTTGGCTGAGCCTCGCAGGTGGTGACGGGTTCTGCCAAGTGCGGCAACGTGCTCGCTCGAGGAGGGGAAGTGTCTGGGAGGAATGAGCTCCGCCCAGCTCAGTCCTCTGCCCGCGCGCCCACCCCCCAACTCTGCGGGGCTCCCAGGGCTGTGCTGGCCCCGGGGGCGCCGGGCTATTCCTGGACCGGCCGGGAGTGTCCGCCCCTCACGGGACGGAGGCCATGCCTGCTCCTTGAGTCGTGTCCCATCTCCGGGCTGGACGCCACCGTGGGAGTGGGGCCATAACCACCCTACAACGTACAGAGGAGCAGTAACGTCTTGACGGTCCCCTTGATCCCTAACGCTTGTGGGTCCGCATGAGACTCCTGGCAGCTTCGTGAGTGAAAGCCCTTGGGCCACTGTCTCCGTGTCTCCGCTGAGAGCCAGGCCACAGGGCTCCAGGCCGCACCTGAAAGGCTCACAGCTCCTGCGTCGGCAGGACCGCACGTCCTGACAGGCCTCCGAGATGCTGAAGGCCAGCCCCACACAAGGCCTGGATGCCCCAGGGCCCGTCCTCCCCTCTCCTGCGACTGACAGCTCTCCAGCCACAGCCGACACACACAGAAAGCAAAGCAGGCCAGCGAAGGAGGAAGAGGGACGCAGGCAGGTGAGGACGGCGGGAAGGCCGAGTACGCAGGCCTTCCGGTCACATCCCGTGTGACTTCATCGTGAGGACTCTCCCTACAGCAACGCCAATGACCATACACGTGAAGCCCCTACCTATGACTACCAGGCCCCGAGTCCCCGCCAGACCCCGCAGGACCCCTCCGTACCTGGCAGGACCTCCACCAGACCCACAGGACCCCGTAGGACCCCAAGAGACCCCGTCAGGGGAAGCCTGGTTCACAGGTGAACATGCTGGGGCAGGAGGGGACCCGGCACCCAGGCAGGGTGCAGCAAAGCTGAGCAGCTCTGAGCTCCTCCCGTGCTCTCTACAACCATGGCGTGTCTGTTCTGTACTTTCTGACTGTTGTGGGTGCCCCAGGACAGGCCACGCACTCCCAGCACAGCCCCTGGTGTGCGGCTGAACCAACGCCCATGAGAGTCCCGACGAGGAAAAGTGGCCGGCCAAACACAGGTCACAGGAAGACTGGCCACACAGGCAGGGGGTGGTGATGCAGACGGCAGCCCCGACTGTGCCCGACGAAGCCATGGGGTCCCCACAGCAAGTGAGAAGAAACACAGAAAAGCCTGGCAGGAAGTCCAGAAACAGTCAAGTACTTAGGCTGGTAAAATCCTATGACCCACGTGCGTTCCTTCCTCAAAATACCCAGAAACAGAAGGTGACCGCGTCCCAGAGCCAACGAGAAGCGTCAGCAGATTCCGAACAGGCAGAGTCGGAGAAAGTGGGTTGTGACCGTGACGGACGAGTGCTCCCCGAGAAACACAGGCCGTGCCTCCCCGCGGAGGCGTTCTGAGTTCAGAGTCGAGGCAGGAAGTCAGTCTGGAAACCGTGCCGCCGTGAGAAGCGGGGACAGCAGGAATACATGGCAGAACCCCACTTGCGTCCGCAGACCCCCCCCAGACCTGTCGAGGTTATCAGTGGTTATCAGAGACGCCGCGGGGGCCAGCGGAGGGAGCAGGCGGCGGCAAAAGCTCGGGGCAGCCGCCAGCCCACTCAGAGCCCAAGGCCTCGCACCCGCCCCTGAACAGCCAGCCGCACCCTCCCACCCCGTGGCCTCTGTCCCAAGTCACCTCATCACGGTGGAGACTTAAAAACCGTGGAGAAACATTGGAGGAAAAAGTCATAAAATCACCAAATGCATCAAAACCACCCCGCCCGGCACGCCACAGAAGCTACAGCGTGAATAAGGGGGACGCCTGCTCCCGATCAAGTCTGTCTGCCGTGTCCACAGGGCGCTGCGTGGACCAGACACAAGCCGCTCGCTCCCGCGCGTCCCTGCCCAGTGTGCCTACGCGCCCCGACGCGGTGCCGTCCGGGGTGGGCGTGTTGGCTCTCGGAACTCGGCAGAGCCGCGTTGTTCTGGCCACACTGACCACGGCGGTGTGTGTGGTCCAGTCACAGAGGAAGGGGCTGGAGCTCGGCGGCTGACCTTCCAGCCTCACATGTGTCACTGAGCAGTGGTCACTCTGGGAGACCACGTGCTTGTCCCCACGACACTCCCATCAGCCCAGGGTTCACTTCTCTTCTAGAATTCTCGGAGAGACCCCTGCGCGTCTACCACCCAGCTCTGTGCCGATGAGCCAGCGAGCTACTGCTAGGCACGTGGTAGGTGCCCACTGATAACCTTGACGTGCACATCTTCGCCTTCAAGGAGAACCTGCCCTTAGGGGGCCAAATACCCCTGGTGCACGGTATTTACAGAAAGAGGGTACCCAGGTGAGCAGCACGTTATGGCTGGGTGGGGACTGGGGCTACAGACCTACTTGGGCTGAGCCGGGCCACACTCAGTGCCTCTCTGTGGCCTGATGGCTGGGGGCACAGCCCTTCCCCACCTCAGCTCCGACCTGGACAGTCACAGTTCAAGAAGCAGCCTCCCCACCCAGGCCAGCCCCCGGCCCTTAGCGCCAGGACCCTCCCAGCCTAGGTGCAGGGACCCCGACTTGAGCAGGCCTGCCTGGGAGCCAACCCCGCACCAGCTTTTGGGAACAACGGCCCCTCAGCTCCCGCACCCCCGGGGCTGAGGCAGGCCATGTGCGGTGCTGGCCTGGGCACTCATGCGCAGCGGGTGACAGGCCCCCGGGGCTACATGGGGTAATGAAACTCTAGGGGTACAGAGCAGAAAGGGGGAGTGTCGGCTGCGACAGCAAAGGAGGAAAAGATCCAGAAGCACCCCGGGCAACGGCACGGTCAGACTTGGGACTTTCTACGGACGCTTCTCAGAGAACACCCATCATCTGCTGGCAGGTGCTCCATCCACCCCCGAGAGGCGCCGCCGCTCCGCGGAGGCCCGCAGCCCTGGACGCCGTCTGACCCGCCCCACAGCCGAGCCCGCGCCCCACTCACTTTCAGCCTGTCCAGCTCCAGCTGCTCCCTGCTGGCGGGGGCCGGGGAGCCGGGCGCCCCTGCAGTGGGGGCCGGGCCATCCGCGCCCTCGCTGAGCCGCCGTGAGAGCTTCATGATGACCTCGTCCTTGGCCTGGATGGTCTCCAGCAGCATGCCCAGCTGCTCGCTGAGCTCGCCCACCTTGCCCTTGAGCGTGCGGGCCTCCTGCTGCAGGCTCTCCTTCTCCAGGGAGAGCCGCTCCAGCTGGCTGCTCAGGCCCAGGATCTGGTCGTCCTTGCGGTGCAGAAGCTCAAGCGCGTCCTTCGGGACCCCCTCAGAGAGCCGGGTGCTGGCAAAGTACTTGTCATACTGGGAGGACCGGACTGTCTGCTGCAGCAGCCGCACGAGCTCCTGGAGCCAGAGGAGAGGGAGCAGACGCGGTGACCACGTGACCCGGCACCGAGGAGGCTGCGCATGGCGACCTTCCTCTCGGGGGCGCTCAGAAATGCTGGCCCCTGGGCAGAGAACAATACTAGGAAATGGGAGATGTGGGCGCGCGCGCCATCCCCCCACGGCCCCCAGCACACACGCATCCCGGAGCTTGACCAGCAGCTCCGAGCTGCCCAACAAAGAGGCGTCCTCGGTCTCAGAGGGCCACGGACACCACGTGGGAATGCTTCTCCCTCCTGTTACCGGAGCAGCCAGTGCTGCGCTGGGGTGGGAGAGGCCCTGGCAGCATGAGACACACACCCCCCCACGCCCCCGGAAACCCACGTGTCTCTGACGCCGACCTCAAACTTCCGGGGGAGAAGGCCCATCTGGGGACGGAGATCCTTGGGGGCCCGGGCTGCAGCCCCGCGGCACAGCCGGCGGCAGGAGGCACACGCGGGGAGGGAGGACGGCTACCTTCTGGCTGGACAGGTCCTTCCGCAGCCGCTCCAGCTCCTCCTGCTGGCTCTGGACCTGCAGCTGCACCCCGGCCAGCGGCCTGATCGCGGCCGCGCCCTGCGTCCCATCTGCCGAAGGCTCGCCGCTGACGTGCCGGTTCCTGTGCGATCCGATCATGTCTTTCAAAGGGCGCTTCCCTTTGTAGGGAATACGTCCAAAATCAAAGGGAAATCCTGAGCCAGCGACTCCTACAGGAAAACAAAACTTGTTTTCTACATGCAGGACAAGCCGTCCTTCTGCAAACCCAGGAAAACCATCGACCTCCCGCCTGCCATCCTCCGGGAACTTCCACGTCCGCGTGCAGCGAGCACAGGTGGGGCCGCCTCTGGGCCCCGACTCGCTCTGGACAACCGAGCCCAGGCCCTGAGACGGTCGCCCACCCTGGGTCCTTCCTCAGGAGGTTCGCCTTGGGGTCCTTTCCCAGGAGCGTGTCCTGGCTGTGACTGCCCACCTGCCTGAGCACGCATGCAAACGGGCACAGGGCCCTGGCCCCGACAAGGGATTTAGGACGAGGCCGCGGGACACCTCGCTCAAGACTCGTCTGTGACACCCGCTCTCCTCCAGATGCTCGGGTCTCATCAACAGTCTCCCAAAGGGGACAGAGACACAGGCTGGGGAGGAGCATGGAGGCTCCGAGTTCCCACAGCGTCCCGGAAACACGGAGTCCAGCCCCCGCCGCCCCCGCCGTCAGACGGCAGGCTCCACGGCAGGACTCCCAGACACGGGGCCTCTGGGCTCCCTTTGCTCACCTGTTCTCAGGAAGAAAGCAAAACAAAACCCCCAACACATGTTCTTCATCGTGAACATGTGTTTTAAAGGCTGACTACGTTCTCTTCCTTAGAAAGGGGCCTTTAAAATACTGACAGATCCAAATAAATACCAGCACGAACGAAATCACATTCATGTTCCAGCCACGGGAGGAAACACGCACCGGGAACGCGTGTTGGGATTCTGTGAAGCTGGAAAACAGACGACTCCCGGCTCCTAAGTCTGGACAGTGGCTGCCCTGGGAGGAGTAGGTGACTGGCAGGGCCGGTGGAGAGGGGACAGAGGCTGGGGGATGAGGGCTGCGGATGGGGGACCGGCGAGGGGCAGGGGCATGGAGGACAGCGTGAGGGGCTAGGGCTGGTGTACAGGGCTGGCCCCATCCTGTTTCAGAATGTGCTGCCCACGTGGGTGCACTCACTGTGAAAACCCACGGACATCACATTTCCGACAAGAGGGACTTTGCGCACTTGAATGCAGAGGAACAGATACAAGGGAGAGCAGTTCGTGCCCCACACCATGCAACACAGACATGCCGCGGGACTGATGCTCGTGTCTGGTACAGGAAGGGTCCACAAGCCCGTGCGATCAGAGTCACAGACCCTGTGTGGCTGCATGTCTGGTCCGGGGAGTTTCCAGCCCACGCGAGCCACTCAGCCTCGCAGGCCTTCCTTCCTGACCGTGCTCGCAGGTCATTCCAGAACCCCAGCCCCCAGCTCGGGAGGTGCTGACGTGGGCCCTCGGCAGGAAGCACAGCACGCCCGGCCCGCCACCTTCACACCGTGTCCCACGGGACTGGGCCCCACGCCACGACCCTGCGAACACAGGTAAGCCCCCTGGCACAGCGGGCCAGGACCACCCTCTGGGGGACAGGAGACGTACTTCCTTGAAATACTTGAGCTCCCGGTAAAGATTTCGTAAGATCCTCCTCCTCCTCCAGCCCCCGCTACAATCGAGCACGAGATAGAATTTCCAAATTACTGTTGTTCTACATGGAAACATCAACATTCCCTCGTGGATCCCTGGACGGGCACAGAAGTGGCCGCAGAGACAGGGTCGGGCTGATGACACCCGAACCCTGACCTCCCCAAAACCAGCGGGGCCATGCGTGACGTGGTTCCCACTGCGGTGCCGGAGGACACGTGGCCCCAGAGACCCACCACAGCGTGTCCTCATCCAAAGAGGTCAGCCCCGTGACCTCATACAGGGCACACGAGGAGCAAGGAGGGACCTGCCCTCCGGAGTGTGGGACGTCCTCGGCACAAAGACTGTCTCGGCCACATGGATGCTGAGGCCAACGGAGGATGGGGATGGGGAGCTGCTCAGACGCAATAAGGCCATCGCACATCAGCGAGGAAACCTGCCTGCAGGCCTTGTCAGTGCCTCATGTGATTGGGGACATGAGCATGCAGCCATGGAACCAGGGCAGGCGTGACGACTGGATTTACGGGCTGCTGTTTCTCGGTACAATAATGAGGCATCATAAGTTTTAAATTTAGACACAGTAGATTAATGTCTAGATTTTACGTTAAACCCGCCCCGCCCAGGGTGAATGTGGGACAGGTGGGGGCTTGGAGAGAGTGGCCCTAAGTTCAAAACCGTGGGGGCCACACAGGGCTACAGTGGAATCCATGACCCCGTATGTTCTACCTTCGTGTAGACACGTGTTCTGTAAAAAAGGGTTTAAAAAAAAACAAAAACGGTGTATCCGTGAAGAGCACTGTGAGTTCTGGACGCCCTACCTCCCAAGAAACCTCACAAGTCACGGGCTGGGGGTTCTTCCCTGTGACACCTCACCCTGCAGGGCCGCAGGGCTCATCCCCCCACAGACGCGGCTCCTGCTTCCAGAAAGGCTGGGACCGCAGAGGCTCCCCCGCAGAGAGGGTGGGCGACCGGAACCACGTCCGTACCTTTGTTTCCTTCCGGAGCCGGCTTCTTCCTCTCTTCCTGTGCCATGGACTCCTCTAGCTCCTTGGGGTTCGGGTCTAAGAGCTCCCACTCTTCGTTGGTATAAAACACACTCTTCCGACTGTCGCCATGTCCTCTGCCAGGACGGAGAGATGACATGGAGTTTCTGTTGGGAGAAACAAGGTGAGGTACGTGAGACGCTGCAGAGAAAACTAACTTCACGCCTACAGGGACGGCAATCACCAGCAGCTATGACGTCATGTGTCGGGAGGGAGTGCAGAGAGGGACACCTGGTGGGTGCTGCGGGCGGGGGTCTGAGTCACGGGAGTCACACGGGGGTGCCGTTGGCAAGACCCAGTTAAGGGGAAGGGATCCACCCCGAGACCCCGCGTGTCCCAGATTCCTGGGCGCGGTCCTGAGACACGGAGGACTACTGTGCCATCACGTGGACCCAGGTGAATGTGGCAGTCAAACACCTGTCCACGGGAGAACAGATGCGGTGGGCCGAGTGCCAAGGCACCATGGAAGAGATTCTGTCCATTTCTACGTCACTAGTGCCCGCCGTGTGCCAGCCACAACTCCAGCTCGGGAGCCACTGAGCCCGGGACACGGTCCTGCCCTGGTAAACACGTCAGCCACAGGCCCTTGTTGGGAGAGAAGGGTCTTTAGATGCCAAACAGAAGGAAATGGGACGGTGACGTGTGTAGTAACGGTGACGGTGTTTCCGATCCTCGTGGGAACAGGGGTCACAGACACTGTGCCTATATGTGTGGCAAGACCACGAATGCCGGGACGCAGGGCCCCGCTGCCTCCGTGAAGGGCAGGTTGCGGACTGCGGCCAGAGCACGGGACACGCAGACAGCAGGGCGGCCCGCACAGTGGGACCCGGCCGGCCAGGGGCACCCCGAGGATCCCCGGTGAGAGGCTTACCCACAGAATGAGAACACATGTGCGTATACAGGGTCCGCACGTGGACAGCCACAGCTGCCTGATTCCTCACACAAACGTGTCCCCGCAGGCGGGTGGCCCCGTGGGACACGTCCACACACACCACACACGGTGCAGCAGAGAAGGGGAACCATGAAACACTGGTCAGCGCAGAGCAGTCCACAAAGGACAACCACGAAGGACCACGCACAGCCCGGCCACGTTCACGAGGCAACAGCAACAGAGGGCGGAGCGGCGCTGCGGGGACCAAGTGCCCAGCGTCGGTTACAGCGGCATCTACACGGCCACGCATGGTTTTGGACATTCACCGGCCTGGACACGGATCAGGCGGAGTTTCCCGCAGGTCAGTCACACCTCGGGGCCGCGGCTGAAGCGCAGAGCAGGGAGGAACGTGCGCCGTGAGGGGGACGCGGGGGCCGGAGCGGGGCTGTGAGCCCGCAGGGAGCAATCTGACCGCACCCACACGGACCACGGCCGTTTGTCAGCGTGCTGTTTGTGATCAAGACTGGTTTTGGCTGATTCCACCGCATTGAGCTGCTCTAGATGTAAGACCCCAGGGGACCAGGGACGGCGACGTTCCCGCTGCCGCCTCCCGACAGGCACGCACGGCCTTCTGCTCCAGCACGAGTGCCCAGCCGACACCCGCCGCGTGTGGTCTCAGCGTTTCCTCCGGGCCTCGAGGGAGCCGCTGCCCACGTGCTGCTTGTCCCCTAGGCTCTCCCTCTGGCGGCCGAGGCGCGTCCGCGCCGATGCCCGCGACCGCCCACAAGGATGCGCACAAGATCCCACGGTGCTGCGGGATGCCGCGGAGAAGAGCAGCTCAGGACGGAAAGCCTACACCCACGCACGCCCGGCACACTCTACTCCTTTCCGCGACAGGCCAGAGGCCGCTGTGCATGGGCCCACAGCTCCCACGGCGGCTTCGGCGGCCGTCAGTCACCCGCATCACCATGGACCAGAGCGGTTACCAGCTCTCGGCACAGGTCCTTCCTGGGGTAAGCGCAGGAAGGAGCCCGGGGCAGGAGGGACGGACGTGGACGCTGCCAGGAAAGAACAGCTCTTTACCCAACTTAGGCCGTCCCCGTCCCCGCACAGCCACGCGTGCCCCTGCCCTGCGGGGAGGCCCCCGCACCAAGCCCTGGGGGAAGAGGAAACTCAAAGCTCCAAGTCCCTGACCCGAAGCACCAAAGAGCCCGTCCCCCGCTTGGACCTTCCGTGCCTGTGCCTGGGGGCCGCAGAGCACACTGTCCTCAAACCACATCCCCCTGCTCCAGCGGCAGACAACCCCCCGCGTGCGCCACCCCACAGGGCTCACGGCCGCGGAGACGGGGCTCTCCCGTCGGAGACTTGGGGCCCTTGTCGGAGAGAGCCCGCTCTTCACGAGACCTCAGAGCTGCTCCCTGTGTCCCCCGGGACCACGCCGGGTGCGTCTCTGGTGCGATAATCGGCGGAAACGCACAGTGAGGCCCGCCAGTGGTGGCAGCGCCGGGATCCCCAGCAGTGGCTGTTCCCAAACGGACGCGTTTCAGATCAATTTCTCCCCGTCCTGCAAACACAGGCTACGTCAGGGACGCCGACACAGAGACCTCCCCCAGGAACAGGTCCCTTCTTCAGACAGGTTCTCACAGAGACACAGACACGCACGAGCCCGTCAGAAAACACTGTCTGAAGTGATGAAAGTCAGAAACAGCCAGAAGGGGCCTGCGGAGGAGACGGAGGCCCAGAAACATGGCCCCCGGCGTCCTCCCGAGAGGGTGGCATGGGCGCCGTGCCACAGCCATACCAGGACGGCCGCCCCGGGGACTGATTTCGGACTTGGGGCTCCCGGTGTGGGAGAAAGGGCCGCTGCTGCTTCCAGGCTCTCGTCTGGGGCGATCTGCTCCAGCAGCCACACACCCTTCCTCGTCCCCGCGTGAACCCTGGCCGGCTCGCAAGTCTGGAACCACATGTGTACGGTTCAAGCAGCTGCTCTGCCACCAGAGTGACATGGGAACGTGGTCACAGGGGCCCCTGCCAGTGCCCGTCTACCACACGTGCACAATCAAGCACGCAGTCCTTCACTTTGGGGCACATCCCGTCTACAATAGTGTGTCCTGCCCCAAAACCCCACCAGAGCAGGAGTCATCACACCGGCAAGCCCCCAGGCAGGGGCAGTGGGTTGGGTCCCCCCGCCCGACGCACAGACCTGGCATCCAGCTCCAGTCTGGGCCCCTGCCCTGCACCACCTCCACTCAGCACCTGAACTCCCGACACGCGGACCTGGAGACTCAGGAAACCTGCTCTCATGGCCACTGCCTCGCACACAAACTCCCTCGTGCAGGTCCCCCGTGTGCTCCAAGACCTAAGTCAAAACCCATGTCCTGCAGAGTGACCCCCCCCAACACCTCCAAGTACACAGGTCAGGGGGCAGTGACCGCGGGGTCAGCCCTCAACGGCTCCCCACGGCCTCGTGCGTGAGGCCCCACCCACCGCCACCCTCCCTGATGGCAGCAAGCGGCCAGCTCGGACCCGTGGACACCCTCAGCCCCACCCTGTGCAGAGATCATGGGAGATCACAGGGGACGAAGGGGATTAGGACGACGGCAGGCTGCCTAGCCAGGGCGGGCCTTCAGAGCCTGCTTCTCAGGTGTGAGCGGTGGCCCCCGCAGGCCACGCAGCTGGATCAAGGAGTCACGAGGTCAGCTCCAAGGGTCGTGCCGGGCATGTGCCGAAAACACCATTTGATTAACACCGACACTCCGTGACATTCTGTCCGGGTTTCACGCGCTTCCCAGCAGCACACGTTACACACGAGAGGTGACTCTTCTGGGCAAAGAGGGGACGGGACGCTGCATGGGAAGCAAATGTCGTCCCAGGCGGCCGAGTGGGATGGTGGCCCCACAAGCACTGGCCAGCCCGGCAGGACCGCATGGCACAGATGCAGATAGATGGGCGCTGAGGGCCGCTACCCTGGGGCACGGCAGGAGCCGGGCCCTCGCCTCGTCAGTCCTTCCCAGCACGCGCCCGGTGCTGCATGATGTGCTGGGGACACACGGGCTCACGCGGGATGTGGGCTACGGGCCAGAATGCAGAGAGATGTGGCAACCACCAGTGGCAAGACAGCTGCGGGGGAACGCGTGGGCTGACACACAGGGTAGGAGGCAGAGCATGGCCAGGACTCCCCAGGAGGGAGGGCAAGGCAGGGCCCGGGGGAGACAATGTTTGAACAACTAAGGGAGTCAAGCAGGCCGGTGACACGGCTGAGCCCACGGGACCTCGACGGCCAGGTCCAGAGCACGGCCTTCTGCCAACGGCAAGGAGGAGCCTCTGAAAGGCCTGTGGCAGTGGGAAGGATGGATCCTGAAACAGGAGGGTCCGCGACAGGCACACGGTGCACGCGGGGTCCCCTGCCAGCCCCCAACTCCAGACACAACAGGAGGCATGGCCCGTCATGCCCTTGGCGGTACGGACAAGGCCGTGGTGTCCTCAGGTCGTGTCCCACGTGCGCTGGGTGACTGAGCACACTCTCCGGTCAGGTCTAACGGTCCGCGGCTCCTCTCGGGGCCACGGTGGTCTCCGCGGTGCGGCCTCATGGGGTGGCGGGACCTCCGGGGGCAGCACGGCCTCCCGGGGTTCCCGCCCTTGCAGCGTGGGGCCAGCCGAGGTCGGGAGATGGGTGTGCTGAGCAGGCCCTCACACGCCCCGGGGCTGCCGGCCCCCCACCCTACAAACACCACACCCCACACCACGCTCATCGCACACGAAGGGTTTGTAGGTTATTTTTCCAAGTCCTGTGCTGAGGCTGTGGCACGTCTTTCCTGCACAGACCAAGCTGTGCCTGCAAGGAAGACCCCAGATACACACGTCACAGCTCTGGCGCGGCCTCCCCACATTCACCAACATCTGGGGGCGTGGTCCCAGCCAGGGAGACTGCGACGGTGCCCAGGATGGCCAGCCGCGCACACAACTCACTATGCCCACGGCCTGCGGGGCAAGAGACCGAAGGGCCCACAGGGGGGTGGGGGGACACCTGTCAGAGGCAGGCCGGCAGGACGGGCAGGCACTCCTGGCCAGCTTGGTCTCCGCTGCCGCCAGCTCCCCGACAGGAAGCTCCGCTGCGCCCACGGTCTCCGCAGACATGGTCACAATCGCGGCAGCTACGTCACAAGGAGCCGGCACCGAGCTGGGCAGCTCCTGGTCACGACCTCAGCCCTCACACCCAGCGCGTGAGTCATTTAC